CTTCATGATCCGACCTACCTGATCTATATAATAATGTAGATCTACATAATCTACATAATGATCTACATAATGATGTAGATCAGGTTACTGGAATATGAAAGTGGATGATATTAGCTAGCAACTAGGCTTGGTGAAAAGATTTGTAACAGATGCCCAAGACCAATTATGGCAAACACAAACAGGACTCGTTTCGTTACCTTCTACTTTAAACTTTTTTATTAGATATTTTTCAAGCCAGATATCTTTGTTTATCATTAGAATTTTTTAGCTTCTATAGCTTCCAGTTCCGCTGTAGTATATATGCATTAATCGTTGATATATTTTGTGAACTTTATTGTGTTTTCACTTTACTTGAAACTTATACTTTCTTCTTAGATAATTGTAAAAAATTACGATTAGTATTTAAATCAAGAACAAATTTTTTCATCAGTGTCATAAGCCTGTAATCTTATATATCAGTAACTTCAACATTTCTATAAACATAATGATTCCTAACACTTTAAATTCAGTATTATTATCGAAATATTAAAGCTGCTGATGTGTAAGGAGTCTCGACTGCTTGTAATAGTTTATATTGGGCTCCAGCAACCAATTATGTATTCTTTGATCGATGTTATCAGCTATTGCATACAACCCAGAGTAGATTTATAAGGCAAGTCTAGAAGTTTTTTCATATAGGATGTTACCATGTTATTTTATTATTACTGAAAAAGGCTCAATCAATAAGATTAATTTATATATATTTACGAAAATAATTCATGAATTAATTTTTCACGAAACTTTAGGTAAACCCACTAAAACCTAACCCAGGAAGCGCACCACGTAGTAGAGATTTGCATTGCAGTACTTGTATATTAAGATTGACTAAGAGACTTAAAGTGAAATGAGGAAATTTCCGCGGATTACATGAAGATACTATTTTAACATAATTTATTATTTGGCTTACTCATGTGAAAAATAAATAAAGCCATTATTTTGTAAACAATATGAATTGTGACAACAAGCTCATGATGTCATTCTGTTGAATCACAATGAGACATTTCTGACACGCCATTCAATGCATTGACATGAACTGAAGTAGCCGCAGATACGCTACACGGCTAGCCAAGATATACGAACTAAGACGGTTTTGGGAGGTGCAATTAAAGTATCTTAGTTCGTGTCAATCAAAAACACAACAAATTACATAAATAATTTTTAATACAAAACAAATAAAGAAGTCAAAAAAAAAAAGAAAATAAAAAAAATACTTGAAATAGTTCAAAGTACTCAACTCCGTGCTGAGTTTCCGTAAATGCTACCGCATATACCGCTTAATCGCCCAAGTTACACTTGCAAAAAAAATGATAATAAAAAGGCAAACGAGCTTGTGTTTCGCTTTAATTAAATTCACATTTTCATGTTTTTTATATTTTATTTTTATTTTTTTATTTTTATTTTTATTTTTATTTTTTATTTGTTGGTTACACATTTAAAAAGTGGTTCGCCCCCAGCCAAACTAAAATCTACAAAGCCAAATTGAAACACTAGCGAGACGATATGAGGCGATCTGTGGTTTACCCTACACATAGCTGCTACAACTCGTCATACTCACAAGTTGTAGGGTGTAAGCGAGTTGTGGATCGTGGTTAGCACATAAATTATTCTCAGTGCTGTACTCGTTGACTTGGCATGAATTGCAACGAGTCATGAGCAAAGCTCAAGGTAAAAGCGCGGAAACGTAACCTGTACGCATGCGTAGGCATCTCAGTCTTGTCTCAGCTTCAGTCGTAAGTCAGCTTTGGATTGGGCTTACAACGGCTTCGTGTTTAGTATGGATATGACAACATTTAGGTTTCATAAGACCTGGCAGCAATAATTTCATGTATGGAAGAATGACTTATTTTATTTTTATTGATAGCAAACCAACAAAATATTTTCATTTAATATTTTGGTCACTTCCAACGATCTATAACGCTTAATGCGATGCGACAACCACAATCATAATTAATAAATGAAAAGTGTGAGCACGTATTCCATAGCTTATAAGCGTTACTAGGATTACCTAAATATTCTTAAGTGATTAAAGACATATTTGGGTCCATATTCTTTATTCTTAGTTTCACAAGAACGGAGTCTGTTTTTTTTTTCAAACTGTTTTACAAACCAAATAACTGCAAATGTCGTATTACTCGTGTTGGTGAAATCTCTTCTATTAAGATTAGGTCAATATATATCGGTACATTAAGGTCACTTTGACTTCTCTATTTATGAAGAAACACTACTACAAATACTCTATGTCGATTGCAATTTGTTTCCTCCGAAGTTAATATTTAATTTTCTCTCTTCTCTAGTTTATCGAACTTAGTAATTCTACTATTAATGTGTTCTCTCTTTTTTGAAGACTCAAACTTCCATTAACTTTTTGTCCAACGCACGATTTTATATGATTTGACTACAGTCAACTATTGTGGTCAGCGACCACTATTGCTAAACCACTACCTCGCAAACAGCACAAAAACAATTTATACTTAACTAAATATATATATTATATATTAACTAAAAATGTAAGAACTTCTGTCGCAAGCTCTACTTAGTTCCTTGACTAACCAATTTTCAAAACTCTAAGAAGTGGAGAATAAGAACTTCCACATCAAGTAAAACTTTAGTAAATTTCATTAAAACATAAAATATTTAATATATTTGAACTGGTGAAAAATTATAGATGAAAATATAAAGTATAATATGTTTGAACTTATTTTTATACGGACGGCTACAAATATTACCCATGCGTTTTACTATATACATTTAGGTATATATATATATATATATATATATATATATATATATATTGTAAAGCTTATAATTGAGTTTCTATTGCTATTGCAATTAACTGAATAAATCTGTATTAATAAGTTTTATTTATCATATATAATGCATATAAAATCCTTACAAACATGTACTAATGTCATTTGATAGTTATAAGTGTCTTATAGCTATAATAGTTAGGTCTTCAACTACGTTGTTTTAAATTCAAATGGGCTTAAATTGAAATAAAATAAATCAAATCAAAACTTATTGAAACTTCTCTCTTATATACAATAGTTTCTATTAAGTAAAATACTTACTTCCGTCATATTAACGTTAAAATCAAATTTAATATAAATTAAATTAGGTAAGAATAGGAATAAACTCGGTACCAGTGAACCACTGCGATCATGGTTGATCTTTTGTGCTGCAACAGACCTTAACTGTACAGAAGACATGCTGCCTTCCGAATGACAGCCAGAATATCGGCCGTTGAGGACCTCCTAATGGTAGAAGTGGAGAGTAGTTTTCGACCTAGTGACTTCCTCCTCACCCAGATCAAGGCTGGGCAAATGCAAAGAATATGACTGGAAGTCTCGTCTGCTTCTAAGCAGAGTCGACAATCAATCTCTTCGGTTAAGGTGATAAAACAGTCCATGGTGATCCGGTTAATATCGCACCATCAACCTTAACTCTGTTCTACTGAAGAAGGATACCATACCATAACTGTAGGGATGAACCAGCTCTTCAGCAAGACTCTTACCTGGATTGTCGCGCCAGTAGTGACTTCTCTCGGCTAAAAATTATTTATCAATCAGAGACCTACTTGTACACTAACTTAATCCAAAATATGGCTCCGGTCCACAGATTTGAATGGCAGATCCTGACCTCGCAAGACTGTCGGCAAACTCATTAGCATTGATTCCTGTGTGATCCTGCGTCTAATTGAAGCTTTGAGGAAAACAACAAATTAGGTGAAAGAGGATTGGAATTTGCAAGACTTAACTATTTATTTGTAATCTGCAGGGCAAACAACCAGCGTAGAACTGTTTTAAAGTCAAAACAGAAAATACTTGAATAAGGGACTATCAAGAAATTAGGTCTACGATTTTAAATGTGTTTAACTCATATATGTACATCAATATAATCAGTCAAATCTTGGACGTGTGTCAATTGGATGATATGTACTTTGACACTATAATGTTTGTTTACTGTTTTGTTGTGATTTTTTAAATTATTATTTGATAAAGTAAAATGATTAAATGAAGAATAATAAATTTTCTTTCTCAGTTGATTTGATATTTACCTACAGTCATATTTGCGCATAGACGTACTCACACATGACAACAACAAAAAACCAATAACTGCTGTAGCGGCAGTGGCGGCCTGGCGGCAGCAAGCTTTGCCAACAAGGTAGGATAATAGAAGTTTCACTTAAATTACGGCAAAGAAGAAGACATATTCTCTTCAAAAAACACATTTAATATTTATACAATTGGAAAAATATAAAAATAAATTTCTAAATCGTGCTTTCATTAAAACAAACAAAAAAATAAATCATAGTAATTTTTGTGCCCTAATTTCGATGTTAACGTGCAATTCATATGACAGCAGTTATGTTGGTTGGCTTCATTTGTTTAACATAGAATTTGGCTGCTGTTAAAGAAATGCCCAAAGTGTAGAAGAGCAAAGTGTAGAAAAAATAAAATTAAAAACTTGCAAAATATTTCGACCATTTAAAGCGTTGAAGTCTTTTATGTGCACAATAAGCAACAAACTTGATTCATTGCATGAGATCATTTTTAATTGAATTCATTCTTGCGATTTTCACGAAGCGATTTTGCGAAAGCGAAACGTAAACAAAAGCCCATTGAGCGGAGCACTGCACATAACAGCAGCGAAGTGCCTGACAGCTGTTGTGGCATGCAACAGGTTAAATGCCAAATACCAACAATGTGCGCTTGCAGTGTAAAGAGAACCGAAGTCGCACACAACGAGGACACAAGAGCACTGTTAAAGGGCGGCAAATTGTGGGCTAAGAGCAAAACACATTTTGCCACATTTTGCTACTGCCGACAAGTAACTAACAGACGTTAACTAACAGCAGACGATTTTGCAACTGTTGCAGTTGCTTATTTGTTTTAATTTGCTTCTGTTAGTATTGTTATTATTGTTATTGGTTTTGTTGTTTGAATAAAGATTGCTATACTAACCCTTGACCAGCATTTGACGGCACCAATTCCAGCAAACAAAACAAAAACAACACAATGGCGGCAGAATTTGCATTTTGTAGTTTTTGTTTTCGATAATGTAACATTTTGTAATACACAGGTGTGTGTATGTGTGTGTATGTGTGTATGTGAATACAAGCGCGTTAACTTGTTACGCTCTTTTTAGCAAAAATAAATAAATTCACTTTTGTTTATTTTATTTAAGATTTTATTAATTTATTTTATTTAAAGTTGAAGTTGAAGTTAAAGTTAAGTAAAGTAACTTAACAATAAAATGCAACCAACCAACACTTGTTTACTTTTTTTTGTAACCCAAAAAAGGCAAAATAAATAGAATTTGTTTCTTTTAAGTTGAAATCGCAGTAATTTTTTTGCTTATCGTTGTTGTTATTGTGTTGTAGTTGTTGTTGTTGTTGTTAGTTAAGCTTATGTTGCTATTTGGAAACAGAAAATTCACAATACATTTCAATATTATTATTATTTTGTGTTAATTAAATATAACAATTTTATTTTTTACTTAATAAAATAACAAAATTTAAAACGCAATTTTGGTTGTTTTTCTAAACGTGATTGACGTTATTTTTGCAAACCGCGCTACGCCGCCGCCGCTGTTACTCGTTTGTATTCACGTCTTAAACTAATGTTGACCAAGTACGGCCAAGCAGCGCACACTGATTTATTTAGTTGTTAAGATGTTTGCAAAAGATTTCGGCAACTTCCCTTCGACTGTGTAGCTTTCCAAAGCAGAGCTTTATGCGCAGCTTTCAGAAGGTTGTTGTTTATGATTTGTCACTTAGCAGAGCGAACAACCTATTGAAAATGCACATTGAAAAATAAAAAACGGAGATGGCAACGCGAATAGTTAATTTTGATTCTGACAGAAAAAACTTATATATTCTTTTTGATTTCGATTGGAAATAATGCCGTGTTCGTTTTTCTTGTTAATTTATTTCTATGGAAACCATAAAAAACCATTAAAACTAATGCAAAACTATTTTAAAGTCAAAACAAAAACTTTTTAATAAAAGACTATCTTTAGATAATATGAGACTGACTTTAAATCAGTGAACAAAAACAAACACTAAAATACCGAACATATACTATGTTCAAACAGCCAAATTTTTCTAATTTCGTAGAAATAAAATTCATTTAATTTCGATAATGTTTACACTGCCCCAAATTAAGGAAATCATATGTTTTTTGTTTACAAATCGAATGTTAAAAATTACATGCTCCAAGCACCATTTGCATCTAGGAAATTTTAAAAGTTGATTATTATAACTATAAAATATGACATATAGTAGTTTTATTAGCTTAAGTGGATTTCAGGTATGTGAATTACTATTTTTCACTATATTATAAATAAATAACAGTTACAGTTTTTTCTCTATATAAATAAATTTCAAAATTTCCACTACTCTCAAAATATTTTACGGTTTTATTAAAATCAATTGTCATTAACATTTATTTAGAAAAAATTTCCCTTTTTCGTTATCTCAACTTTATCTTTTGCTTAAAAGTTCAAACCAACAACTGTGGGACATGACGAATACAAACGACATAACATCAACATAAATATCCATAAAAAAAAGATTGGATGAATTGGTTACACCTTACGTAAGTCGTCGAGTGAAGTTTGTTTTGAAGCTCTGACGTATAATCCGCAAGGCAGTAGAAGAAGAGGAAGATCTAAGATTACCTGACGCAGATTAACACTGAATTATATTAACAGCCAAACCACATACCTTGGCAGATCATTTTTCTATATTGTTGAGCTCAGAGAAGTGGCAGTAAGAAAGCAAAGATGGAGGCAATTTGTAAATATCCTATGCACAGTATAGAGGCAGCATGGAATGATGTGAAGCCATGCAAGGTTTAATAAAAATAATATTTAAACTATTACGTAGGAAAATATAGTTTTAATTGTAATAATACATATCAGTTAAGGCCATGTGCGAGTTCGAGTAAATTGGTGGTAAATTGAGGGAAATAGTAAATAATGTCAGTATGGCAGTAAATGTTGGTATTTACCAGAATTTCGAGTACGGTAAATTAAATTAGGTGTTACTATTGTGAAAATTTTATAAGATATGGTATTTAATAAATAAATGAATAAATTTGAAAACTTTTATGAAAAATAATAAATAAGTGCAATAAATAAAAAAAGATATTTACATAAATGCAGTGCAAAAAATCCCTAGAAAATTTCAATTTACTAAACCTCAATTTACTCGAACTGTATGGTCCGTCAAAAATTCAATTAATTAAAATAATATAAAAGTAATTTTTGTTGTTCGAAAAAAACGTCTTCATCAAACATCTTATAAAATATTCACAATAGTAACATCTAATTTACCTAATTTTCATCTAATTTACCCTACCTACCTTTACCTTGCCTTCAATTTACCATCAATTTACTTGAACTCGCACACGGCCTATATAATTAATAATACAATTCATTTAATCAAACGTATTAATATATCTATAATTGAAATAAAATTCAAAATTTATAATTCAAATATAAAATATATGATTTGCAGTTATTATATATTTGGTTTACGGTGATCAATATGTGAGCCGAAAACACAAAAGAACTCTTCAAAGGAAAATTTTTGTAAGAAATGCATTAATATTATTATCTTATAGATATTTTTGAAAAGCCTCATAAAGCCTCAAACTATTATAACTAAAAAAATTATGTTTATGTTTATTTTATTTTGTGTCCAAAAACTTTTTTTATTTTACGTATCATATTTTGAATACTTTATGCCATCCCTGTTTGTGCTGTAAAATTATCAAGTGAATAAAATTGCACAATTTGGTAACCCCAAAATTTTATTTTTGCTATCAGAACTGGAAAAGCGGTTTTCACCATAAAACGGTTGGTATCGTTGTGCGAGTTGTGTCTTCTGAAAAGTAAGTGTCTGAGCAATATTTGATATATTTACTTTAATTTGCAAAATACATTCGTATATATACTTAATAAACTCCGTGCTATTCTAACAAAATCGGAATCTTTAATTATATACATATATCTATTAATATCTATTATTATTACGCAGATGTCCATACCTACCAAAGTGCACGACTACTCGACATTTTTACAATGTCCCTATAATGCTTCACATCGTATACTAGAAAGTCGTTTTCAAACTCATCTAGTCAAATGCAGACAACAGTACAAGGGTGAGCAGAAGGAGACTTGTGCCTTCAATCATACACATATAGTAAACAAATCTGAGCTCGAAGTAAGTGAAAAATTTGACGCTTTTTGCTGACGTACATATATAAAACTGTATGTTTGTTACTTTTATTTAGCATCACTTGAAAACATGTGTAGATAGAAAACATTTTGAAAGAAGCATTCAAGAACCTGAAAAACCAATTAGTCATCCTCCACCAGAGTTTAAGCCATTGCCTGATGGAGAGGATTGGGATGTTGATGTTCAGGCCTACAACCCAGCAGAATACGCAACTAAGGCACCCGTTTTGCGTTCTCTGCAAGGAGCCTCCAAAGCTGTTCGCAAGCAGTTCAGAAATGACGAACGCAAGAGACTCCGTCAGTTGAAATCAAACGGATCTGAATAAATACTTGCGAATAATTCAATATCTTATATTTACTTACATAATATATAGTTTTATATAATTAAAGTAAAATGTTTTGAAATATATATTATTTGAAAGTAAATAAATCGCAAGTATAAAACGAATGCCCAAACTGTAGTAATTTGGAAAAAATAAATAAAATAAACAGACACCGTTTCCATTTAAATAATTTTCTTTTCAAGTGTAATTTTAGTCGAGTACATTGTAATGACTTTTATTTCGGGGTACATACATACATATATGCATATATATATATATATTTATATAAGAAAAAAATCTATATATATAATGAAACAAGGAATAGACGAAAACTAATGTACGTACATATAGAACGTATATATACATATATAAAATTAAGAAATAGTTATTAAATGTTCTTTTAAATCCGAATATGTATGTAAAACTGTTATGTATCTCTAATTTTAATTAATTTAACTTTTTTTTAATTAACTTTTTTCAATGTAAAGTCGACATTAAGCCTAACTTAATAAATAATTAAGCCTAACTAACTCAAGCATTGCTTGATAACTCCATACTCGTTACATTTGCAAAGTGGTTGACGATTGGACGCACTTTTCCAATAGTTTTTTTGTAAAATCCAAAAATTGAAAACTCAAAGGAGGTGATTTTGTAAAGCAGCGGACAAAAATAAACAGTACAGTATCGTAGTGTACAGTACAGTATCGTAGTGTACAGTACAGTATCGTAGTGTACAGTACAGTATCGTAGTGTAGAGTATAGTATCATAGTGTACAGTACAGTATCATAGTATACAGTACAGTATCGTAGTGTACAGTACAGTATCATAGTGTACAGTACAGTATCATAGTGTACAGTACAGTATCATAGTGTACAGTACAGTATCATAGTGTACAATACAGAAAATATGACTGAAAGTCTTGTCTTCTGCTTTCAAGCAGAGTTGACAATCTGTCTCCTCGAACAGAATGGGTTATTAAGGTGATAACGCAGTCGATGTTGATCCGTTATATGTCCCATCAGCAACTTCAACTCTGTTCTGCTGAAGAAGGATACATTCAAAATAAGGACCCTTTGTAATATCGTCTTACGGTCTAAAATATTTTTAAAAATTATATTACTAAAATAATCTTTAATATTTAAATCAGAGACCATATATTATTAAAAACTCTCAAGAGTTGTATGATTTCCGCACTTTTTTTGAATTTATCAAATAAGGAGATAGAGTGCTTTATGCACCGTCAACCCAACCGTCGTCGGAATGATGTGTCCGACTCCTACTTTGTAGTATACGCACTAAAACACCCTCTCTTCTTTCTCCCCCCTGGACCGCTTTCGCATTACTTCAGGGAGGATCCCTTATAAGTTGGCTTCTCGTAAAATCTGCGTTCAGGCTCTCACTCCTGATCCAAATTGGAAAGTCATTAGATTGCTCTTCCTTTTAGATCAGTTTGCGTCCAGATCTTTCTTTTTTCCCTTAGCACGTTTCCGTTGAATTGTTTGATTTTGTTCTTATTTTCTGCTCATTCTGTAATTTTTCTACGATATTCTCGACCGTGAAGTGACCTACATATTCTGCTGTAGGTCAGCAGACCTATATTTCTTTTTCCATGCCATCTTTCGTAGTTGAAAACAGTGTGCTCAGCATTGTCCTCGACGTATCAGCAGTATATAGAATTGGGCTACTCTGCTTTTTGCATTCTTTATAGATATTTTCGTAAATATTCATGACCAGATAGGAACTGTGTGGCATGATAGTCAATCTCGCCGAAATTTCTTTCCGTTCGCAAGTTTACATTCAGAATTATCCGTCCATCTTCTTCTTAAATCAGAGTTCCATCGTTGTTGCCAGATCTGGAAAGTTTGTACTCTTATATCTTGAACATCTGTTGAGTTGTTTGTCGGTCTCTGTTCCAAGCGTTTTCTCCGTTCATGTGCATGGGGGTCGATGTGGATAATTCCACTAATCACTAGAACTGTTGGTTCGGATACAATTCGATATGCAGAAGCTACCAGAACTGCAGCATTTCGCTCTACAGCTGCGTAAATTTTCCTTCTACATTCAACCTATAAAGCAATTATTAAATAATAAAAATTATTTCGATATCGATTAATGTACGCGTAATTAATTACTCCATGATGTCGTATTAGTGTAGCGTACAACAAATGTTGTGTCACTTCACTTGTTTACAAAAATTAGTTTTGTTTTCATTAACCTTTCGCTCTTTAATCAAGTTCAACATAATTATGCGTCGGAAGAGAATTCTCAGTGTTAATGTCAGTTTTGGTAAGAGGTGGAATGCTTTATAAACAAATGAAACGAAATAAACAAAAGAGTAAAAATTCACATACGCTTTGCACTATGACAGCTACCAAAAATACGAAAAATAATAAATGCGAATTTGTTTCATTCCATTTCGTTCCGACTAAGCTTATCGACTCATTTGTTTTGTGTTCGCACTCTTTTATTTTGGTTCGACATTAATGATTCATGGGCGAGATTTTGTTAGCTTCAAAATAAATTGAATTTTATTAATTCTTTAGTAATTTTTTACTATTCAAGAAGTGTTGTTTGGTGTTTATTAAAATGGAATTATTCGACAACCGAATTCAACCGATTTGCCCAGAAGGAGAAGAAGAGGAAAAAAGGTCAGTAAATTAACTTCAATAGCTTCAAAGCTGTTAACTGCCGGTGATGGCGGAGTAGTTGCGTCGTGAAAAAGCAAACAAAGGCGGGGAGCAGGGCTGGGAAGATACTGTCATGTTATACGCAATAAATAAAATTTGGATATTGTCAAGAAAAAAAAATAATTGCAAGAAAATGTGAAATTCAAAGTGATTTGTGTATACAAAAATAGTTTCAAAAAAAGACACAATACCAATCAATCATCCCAAATTGTACAATCATAAAACGGGGAAAAACCACAGTCTTTCAGTTATCAAAAATATTAATATAATTCATATATTATACAAATTATACAAATATATAAAGATACAAAGATACAGGTATATGCATGTATCTACAAAGTGACTTCAAAGTTAACATATCTAAATTGCGCCTCAAAAGAACTCCAAAACAAACTACTGGTACAAAAAATGACATAGATCTATGTTATGTATGTTAGTCTATTGTGTATCTTAGGACTTAAGCATTAAACATTTTTACTTAAGAATACAAATGAATTAAACTAAGACTAGTTTGAGCCTTAAAAATACTTACTAATTATATGTTATTACTTGTTTAGTTAATTTAGAAGGTTAAATAACGTCATCATCATTACTAGCAAAAGGGTTTCTAACAGACAGACAGACAAACAGTCACTCAAAAATACATTTCTTCATTATATTAATAAAACAATAAAGAAAGAAAATATATTAGTGCATTAAAGTAATCTATTTATTGTTTAAGTAATATTTGAAGTCATATTTAAACAGTCACATTATCAGTAAAGACATTTATATTGCAAACAGAAAGAACCCATAATCTATATCTTTACTAAATTAATCTCTTTGCTGCATATAGAATATCAAAATTCGAAAAAAATCTACCAATTAAACTCTTTCCACGAAAAGTAATCTTTCGCCGTAGACTTATTATTTTACGCTAAAATATACAGATATATATATAATCTCTTCAAATTTCTAGAATATGTATAAGGCCGTAAAAAATAATTCCCACTAATTTATATTGCTCAACTGCCTTTTAGCTTTATCCATAAAGCCATAGTTGGGCTTTAATTTTTCATTTGTTACATAGCCACCCGGGTGGGGTGTTCTAATGTCTTTTACAAAATTCTTCATATGTTTTAAATAACCAAATTTTTGCTAAAGTAAATTAGAATCATTTTGCATTAGAATATCTATAGTTGCCGTATGATTTCAGTTAATAACATTGGAAATGTTTTATCCTAGAAGCACATATGTAATGCATCACTAATAACTTAGTTATTAACTAAATGAATGATTTAATTGCCTCTCAAAACTGATGTCTTTTCAAGCGGTAATAGTTTTTAAGCAATGGTAACTGTTTCAAAGCCTTTTATTGGGGTCTCAGAAATAGTAATAAAATGCACATATCCTTTATGTATATAATACTTACCATAAAATGTTAACTTAGGCCCTGTTAGATCTGGTTTTCGTTTAGTTTGGGTCTCATAGATTGTTAAGAAGTCATTACATTCTTTAAAGCACTGACCAATAAATTCTGTCCACAAATCATTTGAACATATTATATGTGAACAATACTAGAAGTCTTCTATGAATATAAATACTGTGTAGTGTGTATTAAGTTCACACAACACCCTACATCCGAAAGATATTATAGGCATTTTAATTATTTTAAAGTGTTATTAAATTAATTTAATTTTATATATTTCTCATATTTCATTAAAAAAAAAATCCCTTGGATTATAATTAAAATTAAAATTTTCATCCATGCAATATTACAGTGGAACTTTTATAGTCCTATCCTATAGTTATTTATAGTTCATGTCATGTTCTTAAAATTTTTTTCTAGATCTCTTTGGAATAAAAAGTGACTTTAAGAGTACATCAGTTACTCTTCTCATCATGAAAAATTAATTTTTAATGCCATAATAATAGGTGATTATAATGTGATAATAACCCGATTTGTGGGTTTTGCTTTTTATGGGTGTAGCGTGCAGAAACATTGTTTATTTACATAAATATTTATGATATCATCATTGGACCAACAACTAAATAAACACACAACAGTACTTGGTTACTCTTTCTCGCTCTCTCTCGCTCTTTAACAAATGTCTTGAGAGTTTGAAAATATTAATGAGATTTTCTCATCAATCGTTCCTTTAATAAAAGTCTACTGCTCTGACCAATTCTTCTCAGTCTAAGACTCTTAAACAATGTTACAAGTTGTTGGTGCTGACGACTTTCAGCCAGTTCGGCAACCTGTTGAGGCAGAATCTGAGCCGCTTAAAAAGTGAGTAGAAAATGGTCAACTAATTGGAAGTGGTTATTCTTCTAAAAAAAATTGAGAATATTGAAAAAACAAAGTAAATTTCTATTTATTAATAAGAAATTTCATAATAATTTTATAGTTAATGAAACTAGAAAATATTCCTAAAATATAATAGAGGCAGTGCTCATTCATCTCAAGTTCGGGTTCTAATAATCTATCGAATAATTTTTTCTTATATATACCATAAGTTGTTAAGTAAAACTTACATAAAGTAAAACCTTTTTTTTACAATTAAATTTTTTATATATAATAATAAAATTGTTATAAATATTTAACAAAAATTTTTTATTTTTTAATAAAAAAATCGTAAAATACTTCCTGTTTTCTCTACTTTCCTCCAAAAAATTTATAAATCATGATTGCCGCTATCATCATCATCATCATCATCATCTCATCTTACCATCATCTTTTTTAACAATTTAGCCTATTTGAATTTGAGTTCCATAGATCATCTGCTTTCCTATTTTTTTCTTTGAAGTCCTCGGTATCCAAATAGTAACTTTTAAAACCAACACAATTTCTAATGACCTCGCTTGGTAGGGTGACACTGGACAAATGAACTAATTGCAGTTCAATTTTATTTTCTGTAGATATTAAGCATTACATCCGAAGATGTATTTCATTTAACAGCGTTCATCACAAAACTCTCAAAATTTGTTCTTCATATTTTTGTGTACATGAATGATGACAAAATTTATAACTCCAAATATCAAATAATCGTTCCTCTCTAATATTGTAATTCAAGTGATGTCAAATAGTATTATTTCATTAAAGTATGTAACAAAATCGAAAAGGAAATCTTTATTTATACATTCCCGTTGCTTTATCACTTTTTGAGTTCGTTAAGGGCTATAGATAGACTGTTCTTTATAATTCTGTTCTTTATGTGTTCTGTATAATGAAAGAACATAATTAAAAATAACTTGTGTAAAATATATTCTTATTTAAAATTTTCAGAAACGAAAAAAGTTCTTCCTTCATTAAAGTAAACGTGCGAATGTACCTTTATGGATGTTCATAACCTCCAGAGTGACTATATCCTTTCACCCCTATATTTTATTTTCATTGAGCAACTGTGAAGTCGTTTATTGTTCGTGGTGGTACCATAATACGTAACATAAATCAAATAAATAATATTATTACTGCAGATCGGAAAAAAGGGTTCTTAAGATACATGAGGCCCTCCAAAAGATATTTAACAAACAAATAAACATCAAACAAAACTAACAAAAATATTTTTCCAAGAAGTCGCCTAAAATACAACACACATATATATTCTTTTTCTTGGAAAATATTTATTTATGTATATCTATTTTTTTTTTTTATAAGTAGCTTTGTTTTAATTTAATATATGTATGGTTTAAAAATTATAATATTTTATTTTTAAGATTCTATTCATCTTCTATACTCGTATTAGAAAAAACACATAATATTGATAATAATAGGTCGATTTCTATTTATCCTACCCGAAAAAGACAAGAACACTGACAAATATTTAATACCAGTTATACTTTATTGTTCATTGGTTTATTGTATATTGGTTATTATAAGTATGTAGATATATTGGAACCAATTTCGATAGCATTTCTTTACTTAAACTAGAATTCTTGTACTACTATTGATACTTTGTACTATTATTACTACTACTACTGCTCCCAATATTTCAACTATTACTATTTTTACTACTACTATTACAAATTTACAAATTTATATAAATAAGACCGATTTTTAAAGACACTTGTTTTAATTTTAGACTGTACTATTCTGTTGTTGGTCCTGGCACTATACGCTCCAATTATAAGTACAATGTTGCAGTTTCAATTCATAAAGCAAATGGACCATGTCCTGTTAAAGTAAACATTACAGGTCCATCGTACAATGAAACAAAAACAGCAGAAATTGAGCCTATGGCAACGGAAAAATTGGAGTTCGATATACCAGAACTCGAGGAAGGCATCTATACGCTGACAGCAAGCGACACCGCAAGTAACATATTTCAAAACTCCACGCAACTGAACTTTGCGCGTTACATGCCATTGACTGTTATACAAACCGACAAAGCCACCTACAAGCCAGATGATACCGTACAATTTCGTGTGATATTCATGGATGAGAATACAAGACCCGCGAAAGTGAAAGAGCCCATTAAGATCACAATCACGGTGAGTTTAGTTAATATATGTGCGGCCTAAAAATTAGTATTTATGTTTGGAAAGTTTAAGTTTAAGTTTTTTATTTATAATTTTATAACTGATATTTTAGGATGGTGCTAAAAATCGTATACAACAGTATAATAATATAGAGCTAACGTCTGGAGTTTATACCAATAAACTGAAACTTTCTGAACAGCCTGTGCTCGGTAGATGGGAAATTAGTGCGCTCTTGAATAATGATGTGTTGACAACAAAATGTTTCGAGGTTGACAAATATGTTTTACCTAAATTTCAAGTATTCATTGATACTGATAAAAATGTGGCCATATCTAGTGGCGTCATTAAGGTAGTGGTACGCGCAAAGTACACTTTCGGTCAATCGGTAGCTGGCAAAGCCACAGTATCAATAAAATCATTGAGACACAATTCTTTGGAAAGTACTGAAAAGACTGTTGATGTAGATGGAAAAGGTTATGTTGAATTTGATATAAATAAAGACTTGGATCCGCCATTGGGTCAGACTAGTTGGCCGCCAGTGGAAATAAAAGCTAAAATGGTGGAAACATTAACTGGCAATGAACAAGAAGCGAAAGCAGAAGTAGTGCTTCATCCAAAACCTTATCGCATTGAAAGCTTGTCATCAACTCAAGTATATTCACCTGGCAAGCAAGCAACATATGAAGTTGCAATAAAAAAATTGGATGACTCTCCATTGCAAGATATGGAAAACACTGTGAAACTTCTGCTAGAGCAAACAAACAGATATGGTTCTGTTGACTATAATTTCGGCAGATGTGACAATGTCGCAGGTAATGGATACTCTGTAGTATTGGATGCAAAATTAAGTTCATTAGGTATTGCAAGATTTGAGTTTGTAATACCGGAGCAGTGTGGTAACTTCTTAGTGAGATGTGTTTACTTAGATACAATGGTAAGATTGCCATCCCTTTGTAAAGAATCGCCATTAGCTGAAACCCGTGATCATCTTAAATTGTTCGTGCAAACAAAGAAGTAAGTTTTGTTTTATGTTTTTGAAATCCTTGTTGAACCTACAACCTTATATGTCGAAAATTTCTTTACAGTCCACAACTAGGAAAAGATATAGCAGTCGATGTTAAATCTAAAGATTCTATACCTTATTTCATTTATACCGTAATTGCAAGAGGCAATATAATAAGATCTGAAGTAATTAAAGTTCCGGATGGTCAGAAATCCCATACAATTAAATTTCCAGTGACATACAGTATGCTCCCTAAAATTGATTTAATGGTTTATAATATCCATAATAATGAATTTCGTTTTGATGAAATCACTATCGATATCGATGGTGATTTTAAGAATTCGGTCAGTCAGTCAATTAAAATACTCGTCTATAGCAATCTTTACTCATATCCTTACTCTTGTTTTAGATTGATATAACAGCACAAGCTGAAGCACAACCAGGTGAAGATGTTAATCTGCAGATAAATACAGATCCCGGCTCTTTCATTGGTCTGCTCGGGGTGGATCAGAGTGTTTTGCTACTTAAGTCGGGAAACGATTTAAATAAAGAACAAATTTTTAAAAGTTTTGATAAGTTCAAATGTGAAACACCTAGTACACGTGCCTCATTCGGACGTTATCCCGGTCGAAAATCAGGGTTAGTTACCTTAACTAACGCATTTACGGATTACCATCACACACGTAAGCGCAAAAGTAAATCCTACTGCGGAAAAACCATGCACATATATAATTTTCATATTTGAATATATCTTATATTGTATCTACTAAAATGTTGTTTTTTTATTAAGAAAGTTAATAATTTAGCAGATTCACATTTAGTTTCATAATGACTTACATTTATCATTAGTGCAGAAATCTTACTAGAATTCTTGTGTACTTAAAAATCTTTATTTTCAGTTATGAAAAAAAGATGTGCTATGCCACAATCAGTAGGATTATTTGGAGCTCCAGCAGCTTTAGGTTTTGCTAGGAGTTCTAACATGGAGTCTGTAGAATCCTTATCAATTGGGGCTCCTGGTGGAATGGCACTGCCAAATTTGCCACAACCGCCACCACCCACTATACGTAAAGAGTTTTTGGAAAATTGGATTTTCGAAAATATTGAAGAGTAAATTACACATATTCCTACTAAATTTAGAGCATATATACAATATTACAGTGTGTCTTTTTCAGCTCTGGTAAAAATATTGTTAACTTAACTAAGAAGATACCAGATACCATCACTTCTTGGGTTATAACTGGATTTTCTCTTAACTATGACACTGGCATTGCACTTACAAAATCTCCAACGACAATTAAAACTTTCCGTCCCTTCTTTATATCAACTAATTTGCCTTATTCTGTTAAACGAGGTTAGTGAGCATTTCATTCGGAAATGTACGTGAAACCTATTCTAAATATTTTTCTTTCGGCAGGAGAAGTTTTTTCGGTACCCGTAATAATTTTCAATTATATGGACAAACTGTTAGAAGCAACTGTGACTTTAGACAATAGTGATGATGAGTATGAGTTCATAGACGACCTAAACGATCAAAAAACACGCACACAGAATGTATCGGTTGGTTCAAATATAGGCGAAACTATTAATTTCTCTATACGTCCAAAAAAAATTGGTAACATAACATTAAAAATAACGGCTATAAGTCCATTGGCTGGCGACGCTATACATAAAGAGTTAAAAGTGGAACCTGAAGGTGTTACCATATACAAAAACTATGATTACTATCTGCACACCGATGAGAGCAGCTCCGAATTCACACATTCAACCACTTTGGACATACCAAAAGAAATTGTTCCGGATTCAGAATACATTGAAGTCTCTGTAATGGGTGACATATTAGGATCCACCATTAGCAATATGGACAATTTAATACGCATGCCATATGGTTGCGGCGAACAAAATATGGTTAATTTCGTGCCAAATATTTTGGTGCTGAAATATTTGGAGGTAATTACATTGCATTAATTACATTAAGAGCTGAACAATTAAAGTTTGGTTTAATTTTATATTAACCAATTTTATATTTTTTAGAGTGTAAACCAGCTTACACCAACAATTGAGGAGAAAGCGAAGCGTTTCATGAATATTGGCTATCAACGTGAACTGACTTATAAACATGATGATGGCTCCTATAGCGCCTTTGGAAAATCCGATCGTGTGGGCAGCACATGGTTGACAGCTTACGTTATGCGCTCCTTCAAGATGGCATCCAAATACATTGACATCGATACTGAAGTGCTAGAGAAAGGCTTAAGCTTTTTGTCTACAACACAGGCTGCGAATGGATGTTTTGTTGAAAACGGAAAACTGTTTGACTTCTCACACCACAATACAGTCGGTTTAACTGCTTATGTACTATTGGCGTTCTTGGAGAATATAGAGTATGCGAAGAATCATCAAGAAGCCATGAATCGTGGATTTGCTTATTTGCAAGAACACGCAAAGACTATGGAGAATGACATATATGCCCTTGCTATTGTCGTGTATGCAATGCAAATGATTGGAATGGAACAAGCTGAGTCCTTGTTGGCGCTATTGGAATCCAAAGCAAATGTAGAAGGTGGTCATAAGTGGTGGAGTAAGTTAGCGTCAAGTACAAAAGAGGAAAAATGTTGTTATGTTAAAAGTAACGATGTGGAAATCACTTCCTATATACTGATGACGTTGTTAGCTCGCAAAGAGTCCACTTTGCCCATTACTAAATGGCTGATTTCTCAACGCAACAGCAATGGCGGATTCTCATCATCGCAAGACACTGTGGTAGGACTGGAGGCGCTTATAAAATTTGCTGAAAAGAGTGGTGCAGGAAAACCATCTTTTGTTATAAACTTCGGTACCGCAGAAAAAAGCACGAATACCGGAAAATTCGAGGTTAACAAGGAAAATGCGCTTGTTATGCAATCCCAAAAAGTAAGACACTGCCAGACAGAGAGAAAAGTATCAGCAAATTATATATAATTATTTATTCATTTTAGGTTAAAAACGATACTCGTGATTTGTTTTTCAATGGCAAGGGCATTGGCGCTGTGATATTGCAAGTCGCTTATCAGTTCAACATCTTGCAAAATGATTGTAAGCCAAGCTTTAAGTTGAGCTCTAAAATATGTGACACCGATGTACCACCAGGAAAGTTAATTGTGCATGTCTCCGTAGAGTTTGTTCCCTTAGAAACCGATAATGGTAATAATGAGTCAAATATGGTTGTTATGGAAGTCAATTTACCTTCTGGTTATACGGCCTTAGCGGAATCGTTTGATAAAATTAAAAATGTACCCAATGTTAAGGTATTGATGTAGGCTTTCATAGAAGAGTTGGACAATATTTAAGATATTCTTTTTTAATAATTTCAGCGCGTGGAAACCAAAAATGGAGACACTGTGGTTGTCGTATATATTGATAGCTTGAAAGCAACCGATGTAAAAACTCTTCCAATTGAAGCAATAAAATCTCATGATGTCAGTGACCAAAAACCGGCACCTATTGTTGTCTATGATTACTACGACAGTGGAAAGAGGGCAACCGATTTTTATCAAATTTAAGAGTTAAGTTATCTTGATGTTTACTAATAATATGTAATAAGGTAATCAATATTTCTATATACGTTTACGTTTATGTATAATGTTATCTAATTGCATTTCCTTAAATATTTATGAAAATATCGAACGTTTTGAACGTTTTTGTTGAAGTTAAAAGTTAAATTAATAAATAATAAAATTATATTATAAGTCTTGCCTTTATTTATTTTGCAAATATGATTGGAGCTATGAAGATATGGGTCATCAATAGAATAGAGAACTGCGGTCACAAGAAATCTTCCGTACTGCGATAAGAGCTTAACCGAATAAAAAGTATTTTACTTGTCTTACAAACACCAGAATGCCTTTTATTGAAGAGTCTCTGATTCCAAATAACTAGAGAACCGGAGCTAAAGTTTTCTTATATTATTCCATTGTCTTTATATTTAACTTAAAATATATCAAATCTTCGCTTCTTTCTGAAGTTCATCTAATTAATGACTCTCAACGACTTTAGTAAATTAATAATGAAAATCAATGACGTATTCGGGGGGAAGGGGTTAAGGATTTTGAAATCTCTCTTTGATAATATATTAATAAATCTCACATATTTTTTTTGTTTTTTTTTTTGCTTTGCTACTAATATCAAATAGAAAAATTTATTATAAAACTACACAATCACTGGAGAAACTTATCAACTATAGGAAAAGAAAATATAGAAGAGTGAGTTTTAGTTCAAAGCAAACACTGTATATACATAACACTGTAACAGTAATATATATTTTCTACATATACATATAGGTATGTACAAAGAATTGAAAAAAGAAACGTGGATAGAAAATATTTTCTAGTATATACATCTATTCAATAGATGGATATAGATGAAGATGGTACCAATAGAGTCTATTGGTACCATCTTTGAACCCCCATAATTTTCATTTTTAATATTTCTAGCTACCGTTGCTTAATTGATCGTTGGGCATGATTTGAAGAGTAAGTTCTATCAAAGTGGGACTCCATAACGGTCGCAAATCTAGGACTGCCGAAAAATGCGGTGATGCTACGTTTTTTATGGAGCTGCCAGGGTATTATACATTATAAGCTGCTATAAACTAGGCTAACAATTAATTTGAATTTCTTATGTAATTTATGTCAATAAATAATTGAAGATACAATTGATCAAGACGAATGGTAAATACCATATTAATTTGGATCATAACAACTCTGGACTATAACGAAAAAGTTGCTAGCTTTTTAACTGATACCTGTGACCTGTAGAATGAAAGTCCAATTTTATAAATTATTGTCATGAGATTACCATGAAATGGGTACAGTATCTCAATTTCACTTCAACCGAAAGAAAAAGGTTCACGTTACCAATGTTAGTTTAGAAGAAGCATTAGAGACAGACTACAATGAATTGCGTCAGTAGCGAAATTGGTTGTAAAATAAACAAATAAAAGGATGTAAAAATATTTCCAAAAACAATATTTTTTAGAATATGTATTCACAATCCTGGTTGCATCACTGGATCTCATAGGTGACATTGTTTTTTTTTCAACTAGGTCATGTTAGTGTGGGATATTAACCACACTAAAAACATGTTATCTACGTTAGGATAGAAAGCTACTCCCGGAACCACCCTTAAGTATTTCGTCAGGTGCGTAAGTCACATATTTTCATAGCACCATAAAATGTGTTAATGGATCATTTGTATAGTTATAATATTGTATTTATTCTTATTTCAGCAATATTATCTCACTCATGTAAAGTAACTGACTCTATGTTTCAGAAATAAAACTAAAATAATCAAAGAATGGTTCCAGTAGTATAATACCGGCAGATGGTCAAAAACAATAAGCACAATTTGTGCTACTGAAATGTTTTTAAAATTTAAAATGTATTTTATATGTATATAAAACGCTTAATATTTTTTGCCCAACCCAATTAACAATGACATAAATGATGTACATACATACATTTATCTCCTGCCCATAACCGATATACCCGCCCTTGAATTTTGAAGGCTAAAGCCATTGTAAACAACTAAAATATTATTAAATTCTGATTTATTGCTATTCTCATCGACCGGTTAAATGAGTTTGACAAACAAGAGTAATGTTTTTTTGTTTATTGTTTACATTACTCTTTTGGCAGTGTTCTTGACAGAAGAGTGTGTGTTTCGTTCCATGTTCCATTTCACTTTACTCTTTGCATAATAACAACACAACCATCTCAAAATATTGTAATATGAAGCTCTTGTAAGCAATGCCCGCAGCTCCACTTGCTACTCGAAGTGAAGGTTCAAGTACCTTCAAGTTATTAATAAAACATATAAGATTATCAGTATTGCTGCAGTATTTATTATAGATTATTTTGTTTTATGTGGTGTTTCTTTTATCTGAAATCATAAAAAAAAATGTGAAATTAAACAGAAATGAAATGCGAAGTGTTCCAAATATTTTATCTGCAAATAACAAGTTCAATAAATAGTTTAGTCATATTAAATAATAATAGAAATAAAATCGATGGGTTGATATTATTCACAGGCATACACACATATATGTGTGTAGCAAAGTGATTCCCCCTTAACTATACCATCTGGAATATACATACCATGTAGTTGTCATCACGGCTGCTTTTCGTTTAAATTTAGTTTGATTTTAGCTAGCAAATAAGATGGAGGTGTCGTCGAATGATGAAATTAAGTGAGTGAACATTAAAAAAAATTTATTAAATTTGTTGGTGTCGAAAAAAAATAAAAAAGACAAAAAGACTTTTGAAAAAAACATCAAAATAAACAATAGAAAACCAATTAATTTAAAAATGATGACATCATATTTTTCCAACGAAAAATGTTTTCTTTTGTTTTGTTGTGTTATTATTTTCGTCACCAAGCAAGCGGTGGATGTTAAGAGAAATTTTTCCGTGTTTAAGAGAAAGAAAAACAAAAAAAAAGTGGAACAAAATAAATTGACAGAAGCGTTTTTACATAATAAACAAAAACAGCTGTTCAGATGAGGTGCTGGAGTGTGCAATAAGCACTTGAGTGTGCCGGCGCAATAAAATTGATCATAAATGTTTTTTTAATTTTATTTAAATAAAATGGAAATTCAGTCCGAATTTGGCAACTGGAAAACTTTTAGGTGTGATTTGAGTATGTTTCAGCACAAAAACCAATTACAGTGGTGGTCCAGTATATAGATTGGTCAACGGAACTTAAGTGACCATTTGTACCATTTACACTATTACTGTCCCAAAAGTGCAGATAATAGTCCCAAAACTGCAGTGTTGCACTGCGTAAAAAAACGTGTTAAGCGAAAATGCCATTAGTAATTTGTATTGAATATCCGAGTCGACTCGATTTCGATTCAGATTCCGATCCCATCGAGATAAGGGACTCACTGTAAAATATTATTTGCCCTGTTGTAAGAGGTTGTAAGAAGGCAAGAAGGTAGACTATGGTTTCAAGTTGTTGCCCCGGAAGACACATGTGAAATCGGTGTTCACTTTAGACATAACATACATTTCTTTAACGCCAAGTCCATTGATGATTCTAACTTGTGAACATATGAAAATTAGAAAATCTCAATAATGAAGACTATGAATGTATATTGCTTTATTCATTCTAAATAAAGCACATTAGGTTTACTGTTTTAAATCGCTTCTTAAAAGGAATTTCAACTACAAACCGTTTAGCGGTTAGCCGAGTGCATTAATAGGTCTATGAATGCACTCCGAAAAAGCAGTAAAGTACATCGCTCTACGTGCATATAGTGCAACTTTTTATATTTTCAAGACATTGGAAGTAATTGCTTCGATGTGAATATGCTCTGAATTGCCAATTAAAAGCTCATCAAAGCACTACCAAAAAGCAGATTCACGAGTAGAGTGCTCAGTGTTCCATGAGAAGCGCGTCAAAAAACAAAATAGAGAAATGAAAAATTTTAGGGTGATACAAAAGGGGTAATTACTATAACTCATAGATGACATTTAACAAAAAGAGAATATTGAGATGTGAAATTCGGTTTTTTGAAAGTTATAAGATGTTAAAGGTTTCCACATAAACAATGGATGGCTAACAAAAATAAAGAAGAGGTATTCATAAGATATCAGTTCAAAAACTTTATAAACTGAGTAAAATTTTTAAGAGGTTTCGGTGTTAGAATATAATAACCTTAGTTTGGGTGCTGTTTTCAATTCGAACGAGAACGGATTCTGTTTACAGATGCATTCTTTGAGACGCAGAATGCCATTAATCTAATGACGTAGCACTTTCAATTGCACTTTTATGCAAAATGCATTAAGGAAACGTAGCCCATGTCCAATAGGAGTCTTGTAACAACACGGATTACGTCAGAATTACCAGACACTAAGAAAGAGAACTCTGGAACTAGTTATAAAGCATACGAAAGCTATTACCACTTTAGAATAACACAAAATTTATAGAAGTCTACAATGAATTCGGTCAAAACTGTCAGTAAGCAAATGCCATTGTGGTCAGTATTGCTTATTAAAGATCTGTTTAACAATAAATAAATATGTATATCTGAAGTCCCAAGATACAAGAGTATTACTGCGTTTTTATATACGAGTATATATCATTTTATAATTATATAGAATATAATTTTATTCTAAATAAAATTTTTTTCTTTAAATTTAAGTGACATTTTCTCAGTCATTGCACCTGGTACTATCCGTCCGAATTATCCTTATCATGTTGCAATTTCGACAAATAAGGCAAAAGAAAGCAGCCAAATTCAGGTGAGCATTGAAGGCCCAGACTACAATGTATCGAAAACTATCGAAATAAAGCCAATGTCCACTGAAGTCATGCAATTTGATACACCTAACTTGGTAGATGGACAATATAAGTTGACTGCTGTTGCGTTATCGGGAGGGGAATTTCAAGCATCTAATAAACTGCTTTATGCGGGGAATGCGCCACTGCCGTTTGTTCAAACTGATAAGGCCACTTACAAACCGGGCGATTTGGTGCATTTTCGTGTTTTGTTGATGAACGAGTTATTGCGTCCGGCGAAAGTTACGACTGGCATAGATATAAATATTAATGTAGGTTCCAAATACAAACAATTTATTTTACATGCAGCATAACCATTAAACCATTATATTTTAACATAAAGGACAACATGGAAAATCGCATTAAACAGTTTCCAGGTGTTGCTTTGAAAAACGGTGTGTTTACAGGCAAGTTTTTGCTTTCCGAGCAACCTCCACTTGGTGAGTGGTCAATAAATGTGTTACTGGATGGTGTGTCTCTAACTAGAAAAAGTTTTGCCGTTGACAAATATATATTACCCAAATTTAAAGTGACTATCGAAACTGAAACAGATGTTTATGCTGATGATACCGCAATTAGGGCAGCTATAATAGCGAGGTACACATATGGAAAATCAGCAAAAGGTGTGGCTAAGGTTTCCCTATCGGAGAATTTTTATATGTGTTTTGGATCGCAAGAAGGTCAAGTTAAGTGCGAGAAAACTGTTAATGTTGACGGAAAAACTTATGTGGAATTTGATATGAAAAATGAATTGGGTGTAACGTCGAAGGAACTACATTTCTCCTCTTTGGTACTAAAGGTTGAATTTGAAGAAGATCTCACAGGCTATAAAAGTTCTGCAAAAAGTACTATAGTTTTACATAGCGAGAAGTACAAAGTGGAGTGCATAAATCCACCTCATGAATACAGGCCTGAAGTACCACTAACATTTAAAATTTCGATAAAAAATCTTAACAACACACCTGTTAACGACACAACTAACCAAATTAAATTAATTGCAAAGCCTTCCGCAGATGCAGGAGAACTTGTTGAGGAGTCAGCAAATATCGACAATGAAGGGTTCGCTACTTTTGAACTGACCCTACCTGACACCGAACACTACTACGACGTTCAGTACGTTTATCTCAATCAATCCTCATATATTACAACATTAAGTAGATATTCCAGTTGTGATATTTCAGACAACTTGAGACTCTACAACTTATCGCATAAGTAATTAAAATGTGATATGTTTGAAAGTATTAAGAGTAATCAGTATATGTTTTCAGCCCTTCATTACACGAGAAAGTTTGCATTGAGATCAGATCTCCAAATATATTATCTGACTTTATATATCTTGTCATAGGACGTGGTAAGATTTTAAAAGTGGAACATGTGAAAGTAACTGAAGCTTTACACTCATATAAATTCGGATTTATGCCCACATTTGAAATGGTGCCACAAATCGATGTATTCGTCTATTGTGTTCATGGCAAGCAACTGCTTTTCGATTCCGTAAATATATCCATAAAGAGAGAATCCCAAAATTTCGTAAGTGTTTGTGAAATTAAATTTATGAGCAAATAATAATAAAGATTGTTTATAGATAAAAATTTCTTCCCGGAGCGAAGTTGAACCAGGTGATTTGGTTGATATCGAAATAAATACAAATCCTGATTCCTTTGTTGGCTTATTGGGCGTGGATCAAAGTGTTTTGTTACTCAAGTCTGGCAACGACATTAATTTAGATAACATATATGATAGTTTAAGTACTTTTACTACTTGTACACACTGGGATAATGGATTTAATAAGCCAGGGAGTAGTTGCGGCTTAGTTTTTTTAACAAATGCCGAACTCCGCGAGGATGGTCGTAAGTTAACTTGAAGTTTGTGCACTATAAAATATTTATCATTTTCTATAAGATATTACTATGTATACGACTTTATCGACTTAAGTTGTTATGAAGCAATGATTCTAGACACACCATTAAAATTACGTAGGAGAAGCAATACAAACGAAAATATTAGATTGGTCTTATGTTATATATTGTAACCCGCTTCCTCAATTGTCAGCCATATTTGTTCGCTAAAAAGAGGTCTACGATCCAAAAACTTTAGACGGCATGAAGTCATTCCATACAAAGTTAAAAAAATTGGTTTCTGTTCAACACATGTGTCCTTTAGAGAACTTTTCTCTGTTGCTGTTGTTGTGATAGTCCGTGGTGATTTATATAAACGACTACATTAGATATATCAACATGAAAGGAATTACAAATACGAATACATGGGTTGAATATGGTTAAGTGGAAAAGTGTGAAAGGGGAGGGGACTGTTTAGGGGAAAGGGTGAATTAAGGACGGATAGAAGTTAAATTGAAGCGAACCTGTATCAACGCGGACAAATCTAGCTATTTTAAAGGCACGGAGACAAAGATCAATTGGGCTCTAATGGGTGTGTGTGTAAAAAGATAGGTGACAATTGGGGGTAGAACTGTACCTAGGGCAGACATTAGGAATTGACGCAGTTCTGCGTGGCAAGTAACTGTGCAGTACATGGCTATAACCTGACCTTAAATAGGCTAGGACATATATATTATTGACAGTAGCTTTATTTGTATGCAGTTCTAAAGTTCTTATTTATAAACGAAATTATACAAATGCTTGAAACATTCAATAAGTTAGTTACACCCTTCTTATAAGTATGTCCATATGATACATTATGTTTAGAGTAATTAATGATTGTTATTAATTATTATTTTACATTTATAATTATTTTTTACTTAATTAATACAGTAATGCTCGAATATTGCCAACTGGAATGCTCTAATCGTTCATTTGTCATGAATAGTGAATCGCCCAGGTTGGGTGGAGCAAATTATAAACTGGCTTGTATGGCTTCAGATGTAGTTCCGGAAATTCAAGTTCGCAAAAATTTTGTCGAGAATTGGATTTTTGAGGATATTGACAAGTACACATACATCATATAATTAATATAATTTTAAAAACCTCTATAAAAAGAAAATATTTATATTTTTAGTGTTGAAGGAGGTAATGTGGTTCTTAAGAGGACAATTCCTGACACAATCACTTCGTGGGTAATTACTGGATTTTCTATTAATTCATCGACTGGTTTCGCAATCACAGAAATACCAACAAATATAAAAACCTTTCGTCCATTTTTTCTATCAACAAATTTACCTTATTCTATTAAAAGAGGTAAACTTTTTTCAATTTTTCTACATTGCCTATAATAATATTTTAATGAATCAATTACATAGGCGAAGAAATTTCGATTCCGGTTCTTATATTTAATTATCTTGATAAACCTCTTGAAACTGTTGTAACTTTAGAGAATAATGATGATGAATTTGAATTTACCGATGAAGGTGAAAAGCCAAACAAACGCATTAGAAAAATTACCGCTGAGGCTAATGAAGGGCAAACTGTTCTTTTTGCTATACGTCCCAAGCGAATCGGTAATATAACGCTTAAAATAACTGCTGTAAGTCCCTTAGCTGGCGATTCTGTACACAAGCTACTAAAAGTGGAGCCTGAAGGCATTACCATCTACAGGAATTACGACTATTACTTGCAATTGAAAGATGTAGGTGACGATTTTAAGCAAACAACTACGTTAGATATACCAAAAGATATTGTGCCTGATTCGGAGTATATTGAGGTTTCTGTGATGGGTAATCTATTAGGATCCACTATCAATAATCTTGATGCTTTAATTCAAATGCCGTATGGCTGCGGCGAGCAAAATATGGTTAATTTTGTACCGAATATCTTGGTACTCTATTATTTAGAGGTTAGTTAATTGAAATTGGTGAAGTAATATTGTATTTGCATCACTCTATATATGTTATTCAGGCTGTTAACCAACTAACTACATCAATAAAAGAAAAAGCAATCCGTTTCATGGAAATTGGTTATCAACGCGAACTAACTTACAAGCATGATGACGGTTCCTACAGTGCTTTTGGAGAATCTGACAATTCGGGTAGCACATGGCTTACAGCTTACGTTATGCGTTCATTTCGACAAGCCACTAAATTTATTGACATCGATCCAAACATTTTAAGAGATGGCATGAGTTTCTTGGCTCAAACACAAGACGCCGATGGTGGCTTTGTGGAACGTGGGGTTCTATTTGATTTCTCGCATCACAACAAACTCGGATTAACTGCTTACGTACTATTAGCTTTTCTTGAAAATATTGAATATTTGGAGCAGTACCAAAATGTTATTGATTTGGGGTTCAATTACCTGAAGAGTAATGTGAAAAGCTCTGATGATTTGTATGCAGTATCTGTAGCACTGTATGCAATGCAACGACATGGAGATGAAGGGGAAGTGCAATCTTTATTGACTGTACTAAATAACAAAGCTAGAGTTGATTGTGGTTACAAATGGTGGAGTAAAGAAAACGAAATTGTGGATGATACTAAACATTATGCTGCTAATACCGATTTGCAGATTACCGCCTATGTACTAATGTCACTTTTGGATAGAAATGAAACTGCATTGTCTACAGCGAAGTGGCTAATTTCACAGCGTAACAGTAGCGGTGGCTTTACCTCCTCACAAGACACAGTACTCGGTCTAGAAGCATTGATTAAGTTTGCACAAAAAACCGATAGTGGAGAAACAGATTGCGTTATAAACTTCAGCGGTGCTGATGGCAATGCAAGTGTGGCCAAATTTGAAGTCAACGAAGATAATACATTGGTGTTACAATCACACAAAGTAAGGGTTTACTCTTAAATGAAATATTAAATAAAATAATAAATTTAATATATGATTTAATATTTTAGATTGCAAGTGATACGCGTAGCGTCACTTTTAACGGAAAAGGAAGCGGTGCTGTTGTGATACAAATCTCGTACCGTTACAACATATTCAAGAAGGAGGTACAACCTAGCTTTAAGGTTAATAGCAAACTCAGCAAAATTGGAAATGAAGGAAATAAGCTAACAATGGATGTCACTGTTGAGTTCTTGCCTTCGCAGAAAGATCATCAAAATAATAAGTCAAATATGTCTGTTTTGGAGGTTGCTTTGCCATCAGGTTATGCTGCTTCGACCGATGCTTTTGGTAGAATAGAGGATATACCCAATGTGAAGGTATTTTAACAACTTTTTGCAATACAAAATATTGTGCCTATAAATATATTTTCATGTCATTTTAGCGTATAGAAACTAAAAATGAGGAGACCACCATTGTCATATATTTTGATTACTTGACAGCAGGTGACGTGAAAACTGTACCCATCGAAGGTGTGAAATTACACGATGTTACTGGTCAGAAGCCCTCTCCGATCGTTGTGTATGATTACTATGACACCAAAAAGCGAGCTACTGTCTTCTACGAAATTTAGTCATATCATGTCCTTCGATGTGTTAAAACCATTTGCGTAGCAATCAAAGCTTTTAAAATTTTATGGAAAAAAAATTATATAAAATATGTGAAATATCAAAGGATACATCAAAGAAAGTTGAAGTTTGTTATATAATATTTTTATTATTAATTTTGGCTTGTCTGACATTGCGGCCAAAAGATCTATTCTATCCCTACATGTTATATTATTAAAACCTATAAATGTTTTAAAAGTATATGTTTAATTATTAAAAGTATAAATTGACCGATCAAACCATATTGTTGACTATAGTGAATATAGTATAAGTAATTAAATGTAAATAAGGTGCATAAATATTGTACTAGTATTCCTCAATTTACAAAGTACACTAAACCACAACTCTTAGGATTAGGTTAGGTTGGAGTGGGGGCCTTGTAACTAAAACCCACTTAAAAAAATGTGAACCATGTCGACAATCAGTAAATTCAAATATTGACTAATTATGAAGAATGAGAGCTCAGCCAAATTTCAAGTATATTAAATTTTTTTTTGGTCAAAGACGGGCACTGACATATAACAAGAAACGTCGTTTTCTTCTTTTTTGGAGAGCTAAAAGCAGCTCTGCATATGATTTCTATGATATACTACCTTGATATAGTATTATTTTTGTTAGCAGGGTTTATAGTAGGTCTCTAAGCCCTGTTGCGTCAATAAAAAGTAGTATAGAACGTACTTTATAGAGTTTTATTGCCTCTTCCTTAAGAATATACATTCCCAGGAGTCTATTGCGTTTGAACAATAGCGCAAGGGCATTCTATCAGCATATGTATGGCCGACTCCTCATTCTCTTCACAGAATCTACAGTTTGCGTTCGTATGTACACCCAATTATACCAATATTTCGGATACTATACAAGACGCTAAGTGTTCTGAGGCAAAGTATCTGAGAATATGTTATTAATAGTAATATTGATATTGTTTTGTTGTATATTGCTTCATATAATGTATGACTGCCACGCTTTACTTTTATTCTAGAACATTATATACGAAAGTTAAATTAATAGGTCTTTAAAGCGATTTTTGACTATTTAGATTTGAAAAGTGCTTTAAAAATAGTTATAGTTACATTCATTATTGTGAATTTGTTATTTTAAATGAATTTTAATGCACTTGTATGAAATTGGATAGCACTATATTTGTCATCATTGTAACGATGACTACTCAACGAGTAGAAAACACATATAGAATATTATCTTAGAGGAATGCTAATGAAGAGGAATGAGAATGGGCAATAAATCTTGCCAAGCTATATTGCAAAGGTGTACATAGATTTTAATGAAAATGTTTGAAGAAGATTTGAATAAGATAATGACAGTTAAGAGTAGAGCATATGAGCGATAGCAAGAAGAGATTGAATTTTGATTATGCCAAAATATAGGAATCGAGCCACTTCAGATCGACAAAAAAAGCATTGTGGTTGTAGTCGAAATGTAAGTATATTATATATATAGATGATATATGATTTATAGTTTTCAGGTTCGAGACTATGTTATTAAGCTACTATCACGTTTGATTTATTAACTTATTATTTCATCTAAAAATAAAATAATTTTGAGTTATTCAGCGTTTTTGCGATCTAACACCAAAATTGTATGAGAGAAATTAGCTTCCAAACAAAATTTCATGCCATGAGTTCTTTATTGGACTAACCTCAGTTAAATAATAAAACGTTTTTGCGTATAGCTGAATTCATGGATCTTCTAATTTTTTTTAAGTTAAACTATTAATAATGCGCCTAACAGTTTTGGGGATTGAAATTGTATTCTGGTTGAAATTGGTCCACAATTTGTGAACGTTGTGAAAATATTACAATATAGAGGGGATAAAGGAGGTATCAATTAAAAATTTAAAGTAACCTCAGTAAAAATTGATGATATAGATGGGTGTAAAGATCTCGCCATTTTTTGAAAGCGAACTGAAGCTTTCTCTCTCTAAAAGCCATAAGAAAATCGCTATCTAGAACCGATTTTGTGTGAACAAAAAGAGGCATTTTGGTTGTCTTAAATTATGACGCATGGGAGGAAATTGCTGAGTGAAAGCATCTAATCTTATAGGGAGAAAACCAACATGTGCAGTTATTTGCAGTAACTTGTTATGTGAGTATTAACAGGCGAAAGTTTATTTAAATGTAGACTTGATGTGTACCGTCTGTCCATCCTTAAATGTATTGTCATGTAGTTTGCATCGCAACGATATATCCTGTACCACATAAAACCAGAAGAACCATTACTAGATAGAAACATAAAATATAAGTTATAAGATTTTAAGTGAGGGATAATGCAAATATCTTAAACCTGTATATATATTTGAGATTATACTCCATGTAACACATTGGTTTAGATTGTAATAGTTGTGAATTTGAATACCAATAAATGCTTGGAATAAGAGAAAATGCATTCCATCTTACTTTCTCACATCAACGGATTAATAAGTATGGATGACATCAAATTTGCAATGATTCCTATTTCTCAGACGCGCAGTAGGCAAAATTAAAATTCGTTAATTTTTGCACTTCGAATAATATTAAAATTTAATTTTTTTTAAATATAGTTTTCAAGAAAAGCTTTCTTTTGTATATATTTTGGGTGCCATCAGCTCACCGGAATCTTTCCAAAAGTTTAATATGTCTTATTTATATTATATATTATATATATTATATTATATTATATTATATTATATTATATTATATTATATTATATTATATTATATTATATATTATATATTATTATTACATATATATTATATATTATATTATATATTATATTATATATATATTATATATATATATTATATTATATATATATTTATTTTTATATGTTTATTTTTGATTTGGGGGGTGGTTGTTGCAATGGCCGGAATATTATGAACCTTCACAGACGTTAGTGATATGACACAAGTATTTCATGCTCTAATAAAAAAATTTTTGAAATCGTTGACCATATTTAGGATCAAATCTAGAAAAGTTGTTACCAGTTGTTTGCATTATCAAAGTAAAATTACATATACCAGTTAGCGTTAGATGTCAATGTAACACGTAGATAACTTTGAACATCGATATCTGGAGAACTAAGCTGTATTGACAAAAAGCGTAATGGAAAAAGTTGTCCGGAATATGCGACTTTACTTAATTCCATTTTGATTTCGAAAATTCCTAGATATATAAATTGTGTCTTTAGATTTTTTCAACTTAAATAGTCCATAGAAAGTCGAAGCCAATGGTTTTTAGTTTACTGATCATACTTTCGTTGCATTGAAATTGTTTTTGTAATCATACTAGGTGGATTGATAGTTACTTGACTTCACAACAGCCGGTGGCAACGCTAGAGCAAAATCCGTTATATTTTGTATATGTGGTAAAGTTTTGAACGACAGCTTCATCAAAAAGTTTCGACTTCATCAGATGTTTGGTTATCCTTTAGCAAATAATTGAAATAGTGCACCTATTTATAGTCTTGATTTTTTATAAAATGGAAAAAATTGAATATCGTTTAGTAATAAAATTCCTAAATTTTAAAGAAATAAAGAATGATGCAATCAAATTTTTTCGACGTTAACAATAATAAATTTAAACGTGGCCGTACGAGTGATTTTGATGGAGAGTGTCCGGGTCGTCTAAAAGAGGTGACAACTGAAAAAACATTGAAAAAATTCATGATATTATGTTGGATGGACTATTTGGAAAAATAAAAACAATTACATCAGGCTACTACTGTATATTATTGAATCGATTGAATGAGAAAATTAAGAATAAACGACCATATTTCTTGAAGAAAAAAATTTTATTTTTGTAGTAGAAAGCACCCACATACACATGAATGAAAATTATGGCAAAATTTAATGAATTAAGGTACGAATTGCTTCCTCACCCACCGTGTTCTCCAGATTTAGCTTCCAGTGGCTATGCCTGTGTCCAAACTTGAAAAGATGACTCTAGGGAAAGAGATTTGCATCAAATGATAAAGTGGAATGGGATACTGAGGTATGTTTTGGAGGACTAGATAAATCGTATTATTTAAAATGTGTCCAAATGTTAAAAGATCGTTGGACCGGTGTGTCCAAAAAAAGGATATTGTATTGAAGCGTAAAATATAAGTTTCTAAAAAAAAATGCGTTGTTATTACTTAGGTCGGGTATTTATCAATCCACCTAGTATTGCTAACAGAAATTATATTAGGTGAGGATAGCAAGCATTGGCACGGACTGCTGCAAAATCTGGATTGTTATGAATATATGGAAACAAAAATTTGTTTATGGATACTCAATATTATTTGAAACTTGCTGAAAAAAAATTTATTTCTAATTAAATAATTCTAAGAACCTTAACAATCTCACTTGGTTAAGATGATACCAATTATATATCTCTATAAAAAATGGACTAAGTGTTGAAAATTAAGCTATTATTAGCTTAATTTTCAACAAAAAAAAATATATATATAATTTTTTTTTGTTTCAGGTTGGTTTGAAAATATCTCTTTCGTTGCCATATTTTAATTTTTTTAAAGGAAACTTCTGTATGGAAATATTCTCTATGTGGCAACTTTTTTAAAACCAACATTCATATTATTTGAAATATCTTATTTGCTTTTTGAACGAATTCTATCTTTAAAGAACAAAAGTTGGCTGACGATAAGTGTTCGCTAAACCGAGTTTTCACTGTTATTAGAAAGTTCATATATAATAGTTTATTTCTTCTCATGCTTTTTTTTTAGTTATAGTTTATTTAGAGAGTTTTGGACTGAGCCAATAAAATATTAACAGTATCAATTCTCAATCGACAATTTGTGACCACCAAATCTTTGATTTTCTAGACGTGTTATGCTAGACGTAATAGTTTATTTAGAGAGTTGGCAAAGAACTTTTATTTCTGAATTTGATTTTATCTCTTTTGTGATAACAATGCATTAACCAGTATATGTTAAGCATTAAATATATTGACTATATCACGCCAGGTTCAGTGCAGAAGAAAAGACACATAATTGAAAGACATGTAAATAATTTTGAATAGCTCCAGCAGATTTTATCTGTGACCAATGAAAATATACAGAATAAATACTTCAAAAAACTTAAGTTTTGAAAATTTGAAAAGTTCAGGTTGTTACCATGTGAGACTATTATGCAAATATTTTTTACTGTTTTTTTTTTAATGTGCTATTTACCACGGCGGCATTGAAT